CAAGGATAATATTGGGGATGGGGTGAAAGAAACTGATTGGAAAACTACTTGGGAAGGAGAATCCAGAGAACTTATTGATTAACAGATGGTGGGGGTGAGTCAAGATTGGTGTTACCCTTTTGAAGGGAAACTTGTCATCATTTATTAAAACAAAAAGGGAATAATCTATAATCTAGCAATTTAATTTCTGGGTGTCTACCTAAGATGTTTACCTGTGTTTTATTGACTGTGCAAAGTCATTTTACTGTGTGGATCATAACAAATTATGGATAACATTGCAAAGAATAGGAATTCCAGAATACTTAATTGTGCTCATGAGGAACTTGTACATAGACCAAGAGACAGTCATTCAAATAGAACAAGGGGATACTGCATGGTTTAAAATCAGGAATGATGTTTGTAATACTTGTATCCTTTCACCATACTTATTCAATCTGTATGCTGAGCAAATAATCTGAGAAGCTGGACTATATGAAGAAGAACACAGCCTAAGGGTTGGAGGAAGACTCATTAACAACCTGCAATATGCAGATGACACAGCCTTGCTTGCTGAAATTGAAGATTTGAAGCACTTTCTGATGAAGATCAGAGACTACAGCCTTCAGTATGGATGGCACATCAGCATAAGGAAAATAAAAGTCCTCACAATTGGACCAATAAGCAACATCATGATAAATAGAGAAAAGATTGAAGTTGTCAAAAAATTTCATTTTACCAGGATCCACAGTCAACACCCATGGAAGCAGCAGTCAAGAAATCAAACAACATATGACGTTGGGTAAATCTGCCACAAAAGACCTCTTCAAAGTATTAAAGAGAAAAGTTGTCACTTTGAAGACTAAAACACACCCAACCCAAGCCATGGTATTTTTAACAGCCTCACATGCATGTGAGAGCTGGACGATGAATAAGGAAGACCACAGAAGAATTGATGCATTTGAGTTGTGTTGGTGAAGAATATTGAATATACCATGGACTGCTAGAAGAACAAACAAATCTATCTTGGAGCTGGAATGATCCTTAGAAGCGACAATGACTAGACTTTGTCTCTCATACTTTGGTCATGTTATCAGAAGGGACCAGTCCCTGGAGAAGAATAGCAAGCTGGATAAAGTAGAGGGTCAGGAAAAAAAAAGGGGGGGGGGAGGAATCTCAATGATATGAATTGACACAGTGGCTGCAATGATGGGCTTAATCATGGCAATGATTCTGAGGAGGGTGCAGGACTGGGCAGTGTTTCATTCTGTTGTATATAGGGTCACGATGAGTCAAAACCAACTCGACGGCACCTAACATCAACAACTCTGAGGCAGATTATTTACCTCAGCCTTGTTTGTTTAAATAAAATATCAGATGGATCAACATGTCCATCAATAGGAAACTGGATAAAGCATCTCAATATAACAAAACATATATAACAAAACTGTATTGTTCTGTTGTACATGAGGTTGCTATAAGTCAGAGCTGACTCAATGGCAGCTAACAACAACTTTATAACAAAATAGTTTTATCTCCTATACATTATATGACTGAGTGAAAGAAAAAGCAATTATAGAATGATATATGCAGTGTAATGCCATTTATTTCGAACATACACACAATCACCGCTACTAAGACCACCACTACCAACAACAATGTGATATATATTCATATGGAATGTTTGTCGAAAATAATCTGGAAATCTCCAGACTCCTATGTAGTCACCTTTGGGTAGGCAGGGATGGGGTGGTGATCAAGTCTGACTTTAGTCCTTTATTTATTATTTAATGGAGAATGAGTCCATCTATTTACTTCTGTAATTACAGACTGACATTTAAAAAGAAACAACAAAAGAAAATAAAATTGAGGGGTTAAGAAAAATAAATGCAATTTTTAAATTAATAAAGCAAGTGTTGATTATTAATAAATAAAATGAAGAAATGCTTCTTAGAATAAACAAAAATGAACCATACCATTGGTACATTTAAGGGCTCAAGATTACATTTCAGGATCTGGTTCAAACTGGTGGTCTGCTTCCACATTTGTCTTTTTCTTTTCTTTTTTTTTTTTAATCCTTCCTGAGATTCCATTAAAATAATACTAAAAACATTTGTGCAAGACAGAAGGATGATGTGAGTAATTTCAGGCTGAAACAGCTGAGGCAAAATCTAGAGGAGGAGCCAGCATGATGTATAGGAGGAAGCTAGCTTGTCTGTCAGAGCCCAGGAGAGGGTCTGTGATCAGTTAGCAGGTGGAGTTGGCAAGAGAAGGATGATTATGGAAACAGGGAGAGGTAATTGAAAGTCTGTCTATGGAGGAACTGTATAAAGTGACCTCTCACACAACATCATGCCCCAGAGCACAGAGAAAAAAAAACAGGGTGCCTATTGATGCCCTAGATAAGCATTCATTCTGGCATTTGTTAGAGATAAAAACTGGTGTTTGGCATTTGGAGGAGGAGAGAGACTTAGCAAACAGCTGTCTTCACCTTGTTACCCTAAATCAGAGTCTGTTAGGCATCAAGTGTCACTCACTTGTCAGTATGTCTAGGTAGTCTTCCTATTTCTTTAAAAATATTTTTAATATGAAGTAACTACAGAATAACATTTAGAGAATACATATAAGCCATACCAAGTTGTGATATAATCAACACTCCTGTACTCAACACTAGCTCTAAGAACAGAAAAATGCTGTCCTTATTTTCAATGTCCTATGTGTCCTTCTCAAATTTAACCTTTTCTTCTCTTCTCAGAGGCAATTATTTTTCCTGAAATTCTTTGTATCCTTTATTTGCTTTTCTTTTTAGATTGATCATATATGTTGTATATTTTTTTTTACATTTTGTGGGTTTTTTTTTAACTTTATATATATGGAATCATATTGTATAGATTCTGAGACATAACTTTTTTCACCTAATATTATGTTTTTGAGGTTCCATGTAATGTTAAATGTAGTTGTACTTAGATCATTTTCATTTCTATACAGTATTTCATTCTATGAATATGTTATCAGTTTATTTACAGATTTAATTTTGAAGGACATTTTTGTTTATCTTTTCCTTTGCCATTTACAAGGAGCATTGGTGGTGCGGTGGTTAAGGCATTTGGTTCCTAACCAAAAGGTCAGTGGTTTGAACCCACCAACCACACCATGGAAGAAAGAGGGGAGCAGTCCGCTTCTGTAAAGATTTACAGCTTTGGAAACCCAATGGGAGTCACTATGACTGGGAATTGACTCGATAGCAGTGAGGTTTATTTTTGTTTTGTTTTGGTTAGTATAGTAATGCAATCAGAAAAGGCAATGGGAAAAGAAGAAAAATATCTAAAAGGGAGTTTAGAAAACTTATTTGTGGATAATGTGATTATATAAAATCAGCTGAAAAATTAGTAAGAACCAGGTGATAAATCAAAAAGATGATTAATAGGAAGATCAGTATAAAATTATAGCTTGTCATAGCCTAGGTAGAGAAAGATGAGGCAGTCTGCTTCCATAAAGATAATAGCCTTGGAAACCCTGTGGGCAGTTCTACTTTCTCCTATAGGGTATTGTGAGTTGACATCAACTGGACAGCTGTGAGTTTGACTTTTTGGGCTTAGGATGCACACAAGTGGTTTGTGCTTGGCTGCTAACCTAAAGTTTGGTGGTTTGAACCCACCCAGTGGCTCCATGGGAGATAAATCTGGCGGCCTGCTTTCATTAAGATTACAAGCAAGAAAACCCTGTGGAGCACAGTTCTGCTCTGTAACACGTGGGGTTGCCATGAGTTGGGATTGACTCAACAGCAACCAGCAACAACAACATATCAGTATTTATAAGAAAATAAAACAGAAGATTGATTCAAAGTAGCAACAAAACAAAATTTACCAACAAATAAACCTCAGTGGAAATCTTTGGGCTCTATATGAAGCAAACTTTAATTTGAGACATTCACTGTATTCAGTTTGCTATCATGAAGGGTAATATGACCATTACATTCTAAATAAATGCCTATTGCATGAAAGAGAGCATTAGAAGGGCTAATTTACACTAAGATTACTTCAGCGATTCTTAAAATTTAGTATGCACAAGAATTACCTAGGTGTGTTTATTGAAATGCTTATTGGAAAACACCACTTCAAGAGATTCCAGTTCACTACCTTAGGAGCTCTGGTAGCATAGTGGCTAAAGCACTTGACTGCTAACCAGAAGGCTGGTGGTTCAAACCCACCAGCCACTCCTCGGAAGGAAGGTTGGGCAATCCTACTTCCATAGTGATACTGCCTTGGAAACCCAAGGAGGGGTCACTATGAGTCAGGGCCGATTGGACGGCACATAACAACAACCTTTAGGTACAATTTATTTAGCTGTGTTCTAACTTGGAAAAAATACTGTTTCAACTCAAAAGAAGGAATCTCAAATGGTAGCATCTCGGTTCTTTCTGGAGATTAGAGGAAGTGCGATTTGGGGCGTGGACACTTTTCTGACAATCTTTACATTATATCAGGAAATGAGGCATTGTGTATGCTTACTAGTGGCTCAGAAGACTATTTATACTCAGGGGAACATTTGTATCTAGTGTTTGTATGAGTAGGTGTATACTTTACTTTGTGCGTTCTCCATGCTTTCTGTGGGCTCACCCTTACATTCTACGAATATGGGAGGAAAGCAAGGAAGGTAGTAATGGAGTCAAGGATGAGAGAGAGGAGAGGTAAAGTAGGCCCTATAACACAGTCTCCAAGAATGGTAGGGGCCCAGGTATAATGCTGGAGAATATGCTTATTTCATTGCCTTGCAAAGGTTAGTTAGTTCTCAGTGGACCAGAGCAAAGGACAACAACGGAAGCCATGACACCCACCCCACCGTAAGTTTGGGCTTCCTCCAAAACCATTTCCCTTCTCTGTGTGGATGGAGTGGGCTGGATAGAGAGAATATAAGTAGGTTGCAGGAGCTCCCTCTACACTCTAGAGCCCCAGGCAGCCTTGAGTGAATGGTCATTCCTGGGTGTTTTGCCTCTACCTTTGGTCACACCTGCCTTCAGTTCCATGGGAGGCTTTGAGGGTCATCTTTTTCCGGGGCTGTCTTTCTTCTTCTATGGTCTTTACCACGCACAACTGTTCTCCAGAGCTTCAATATGCAACTACCCTGTCCAGTATCCACCAACCCGTCCCTGGAGAAAGGGAAGATGGGCCAAGCTGCAGCAAATCTACTACATTGGATTGCTAAAGATCATGGGTGCCTGCATTTTAGTAGCTCAAGAGCTGCATAACATTCCTGGAGAGTTTGTACTTATCACCAAGCTATTTCACCAAAGAAACTTTGTATACCACAAAGAGTGGCAGCATCTTACTCTATATATGACCTTCTTCCTGAGTGGGTGTGTAGATGTGGTAAGCCAGAACCTGCTGCCCCAGCGATGTGTTGCCCTGGAACAAGGTGCCCAAGCCCTGGCCTTGTTTGTGTGTCTGCCCTTGATGGTGTCTCACATTCAGGACACAGAAGGAGTAGAGCTTCAGGCTCATATCCTGCTCATCCAGGCCATGTTCCTACTGACAGTGGTGATGACTGCAGAGCTGTGGGCTCCCAACATGCCTCAGGTCTGGGTGATGAAGGCCCTTTTATATATGGTGGTAGGATCTTGGCTGATGCATTTAGGCTTTATGCTGTTCAAACCAATATCTGGCTATAAATGGATGGATGATGACAAAAATGACATTATGTTTGTTACCACCTTCTTCTGCTGGCATGTGACCTTTGCTGCCATTTTGATGATCTGGATCTATGGCTTCTCTTTCATGTGGTATTATTATATTTGTTGATGCCTGAATCTGGATAAGCCCCAAATAGCTCATTTCACTGACGTGTTCTGGAACATCTGGATGAGAAGTTGTGAAAGGTGGAGCTATCAGAGAGGATGATCAGGCCTCCTTTCAGAGGGCCCACCCTGAGACAGCCAACTCTGCTGGGGCAGGGCACACATTTCACTACCATCTCCTTTCTCTTGATCTTGTTTGCTGAACAGCATGCAAAGGAAGGGCAAATTAAACAAGAGAGGCACATAAGTATGACCTTTGTTTTTGGCTCCCCAAGCATTTCCCCAACCTCACTTCCTCTGCTGTACTCCAGCCAAGGTAATCTACTTACACTGATCCTTTCTTCAGCCCTGTACTCCCCTCCCATGAGATCTTTAATTTTACTATATCCTGTCTTTGAGCTTTTATAAATATCCCTCTCCCCACATGTAGAATACCAACCACTAATCACATTCTTTAGTACATCATATTATTTCTATCCACTATAGTAATCATGTCTTCATGCCTTCTAGGTCCAGATCTCTTCAACAGTCATACAAATTCTGAACTGTTATTTTGTCTTCATAGAAACTCATTGAACTGTTGAGATTTTTCATTTGATTATGATTCATCAGCAGAAAGTCAGATCCTTACAGATTATTTCCTCTGCAGAATCTAGTAGGACATAGCAACACCCTGTACACAGTGATATCTCAAAGGACTTGTTTATTTCCAGGGTTTCTCCATCCCTGTCTCCTTGTTCATAGAGTGTGTTAAATTCTTTTTCCTGGACAGATAAAATCATTGCTTTCTACATGCTTGAATCAATTTCCAAGAAGTGGACTTACCTGGATCCACACCTTTCTGGTTTACATGTGTAATAAAATCTAATGGCTTGTTTATTTTGCATGATTTTCTTTTTAATTTTTTCAACTATACTATTGGGTGGGAGCTCTGGTGGCATAGTGCCTAAAGCATTTGACTGCTAGCCAGAAGGCTGGTGGTTCAAACCCACCAGCCGCTCTTTGGAAGGAAGGTTGGGCAATCTACTTCCATAGAGATACTACCTCAAAAACCCAAAGAGGGGTCACTATGAGTTGGATCCAACTCAACGGCAGTGTGTATACTATCAGATAGGTTTATAGATGAATAATCTAAAACTCAAAAGTGTTAAGGAATTGGCTTAAGGTAGCTAGATATTTATGTCATACAGTGCTGTAGCTGGGTGTCAAGGGTGAGCTTCTGAGGAATACCATTATATTCCTGGAGATCTGCAAAAGGATGTCTTTATACCACCCCTTCTGCTTTTCTTCAGGATATGGAGACTATGTCAAGATTTCCTTACTTCTGGTCTTGGCTAATACAGAGTAAGGCTGAGCAGAGATTCTAGAAGACTACCCCCCTTTTGGTTTCCCTTTTTCTTCGTTGAAGAATTAGATGTTCCTTTGGTTCTGGCCCTACCTTTCTTGTTAGTTTCTTGTACCAAGTTAAAGTGTACCAATGTGGGTGTGATCTGGTTGTAAGGGCCTTCTACCCTCTGTGTTTTGGAGGCTTGTAAGCATTCTGAATTATTATGAAGGGGGAGAAGTGCTTCATAATGCCATTTAGATGAGGTTCTGCAAAGTCTCAGAATGTGGGGTAGTGTGCATTTGCAGGGCTTTCAATGAGTAAACAGCAAACAGCTCTCCACAGAAGTGTTACACCTCCTATTGGTGGGATGATCAGTAATAATGCTACTCTTGACTGGAGATAGTCCTTTGGGTGGAAATAAAGCATTCTTCAGGCATTAATTCACCTTCATGCTGCTCCTGGTTCTTGGACCAGTGGAATTCCTTGGTCTCTCCATATAGACTTTGCCACTTTCCAGGTTGTCAACTCTGTCATCCCCTTGTCCCTCCCCACAGCCTTGAATATCTTTTCAAACCTTGCCTTAGTCTTGCAGCTACTCCTTCCTCTATCCCAGTTGAACCTCCTTGAGGTCTAGTTTCCTTGGGATTGGGGAAATGGAGAAACTTTTCATCCTGTAACTCTTTCCGATTCTACTGATAAGGCAGAAACTCAGTTTTGTGCTTCATTCAGGCATCCTCTTTTTGATATTAAAGGCACATTTTGGAATTAAAAAAATAAAAAATAAAAAAACCTAAATATTGACTGTTTCTTTTTTTCACATGCTATCAAAATCTGACCTCATCTTGAGGTGCTATCTTTGACTAAGAACTTTTACCTTTTAGAAAGGTAAAAGTTGAAGAGATAACAAAGCCACTTGTTCACCTTTTGGTCTGGCCCTTTTCTGAGTACTTTTGATGTTCTGTTAAATATAATTATATATTATAACATGAATCTTCTAGAAAAAAATAATAAATATTAATTGAAAGCTCTTGGCTGCTAATCAAAAAGTCAGCAGTTTGAATTTAACAGTCACTCCATGGGAGAAAGATGCATCAGTATGCTTCTGTAAAGATTTACACTCTTGAAAACACTATCAGGCAGTTCTACTCCATCCTATATGATCACTATGAGTCATAATTGACTGCACGGCAATGTGTTTGGTTTTACTGTTTGGTTCAAACCCACAAAGAATTATTACTAGTGCCTGATATAATGGTAGAATGAATGGCCTTACTGTTTGAGTGATAAGGGCCTTTCTCAGTCATATCTCAGTCAGTATGAGCATTCTGATAGTAATCTTAACCACATTGGAAAGTAAACCCAACTGAAGATAAATTTAGAGAAAAATAAAAATAAAAAAAAAAAGTAGAGTAGCACTTTGGGAAGAAAGAGGCCATCTTCATCTTCATAGCCCACCAGAGGGCACCATCTTTACATTTGTCCAGAAAGGGCACTTGTTTTCCATTTGGTATTGAACCAATGATTTTGAAGAAGTGAAGGAGGGATGGAGAGGAGAGCAAGAAAAACACAAAAGCTAACAAAGTTTGCCTCTATCCAGTAAGCGTAATGTAGGTCCGTTTGTTTTCTGTTAAGCTTAGATAAATAGACATGAAGCACAGAATTCTATTCATGTAAGTGATATAGTATAGCTACATAGCAAGGAGCTCTGGTGGGGTAGTGCCTAAGGTGCATACCAGAAGGTTGGCAGTTCAAACCTACCAGCCACTCTGTGGAAGGAAGACTGGGCAATCCACTTCTGTAAAGATTTACTGCCTCGGAAACCCAAAGGGGGTCACTATGAGTTGGAATCAACTCAATGGTAGTGATTTATATATGTCACTCCTTGGAAGGAAGATGGGGCAATCTACTTCCATAGTGATACTGCCTCGGAAACCCAAGGAGGGGTCGCTATGAGTTGGGTCCGACTCGACAACACATAACAACAACAACTATATATATATATAGCTGTATAGACTATGTATATGTCTGTACCTCCAAAAAAAAAAAAAAAATCATCAAAATTCCCTAGTTTAGTCCATTACATAACAAAACCAAATCAGAATCAGCTGCTGTTGAATTGATTCTGATTATGGCTACCTTCAGTGTGCAGAATACAACTGCTCCATGGGGTTTCCTTTCATAAGCAGATGCCAGGCCTTTCTCCTGAGGCACTCTGGGTGAGTTCAAACCACCAACCATTTGGTTACTATCCCAACACTTAACCCTTTGCACCACACAGGAACTCATCACAAAATTTGTTGTTGTTAAGTGCCATCCAGTCAGTTCTGATGCATAGTGGCCGTATGTATAACAGAACAAAACCATGCCTGGCTCTGCACAATCCTCACAATCATTGCTATGTTTGAGTCCATTGTTGTAGCCATTGTGTAATAAATAGCTGGTGATTGGGTAAATGAGTGTGTATCTAGTCCAGATGCAGCACAGGTGGAATGTCTGTTTAATTCTGACATAGTTCTAAAGAATAAAAAAAGGGTTCTTGAACAGAAGAGTGCAGGGCGGGCATTCTGAGGTCTAGTACATTCCCCTGCTCAGACCCTGAATCATGGCAACTACATACTGGCAGTGATTTCATGGCCCAGTGGTGCCAGAGAAAACTATTCAATTTCTTTCCCCTAGGAGGAATGGTTAAGGAGACAAAATTATATTATGAAGGGTTCAATGATTTACTTATTTATTTGAAGGCAGAAGATTATTAACGGGCTTTTACTTGCTGAATGGAAACATTGTGCTCAGAAAAAAATGCTTACAATTGGTTGCATTATAATCAATATTCAAGTTATTAAGCCAAAAAAAAAAAAAATTGGATGACACATTGTCATTTTATTTTACATTTCCTTGATCAGTTACTAATAACTTCCAACACCTTCTCACACATCTGTCAGAATTTTGGATTTCCTGCTCATACTCTTTGACCATTTTTCTCTCAAGGTTGCTATTCTTTCTCTTGCTGATTTGCCGCAGTTCCTTCCACACGTTAGTTTTAATTCCTCATTCACCTGAAACATTGCAAATATCTTTTCCCATTCTGCCATCTGATATTTGTCCCATGGTGTCCTTTTCTAACAGGAATCCTTGTTTGGATGTTATCAAATGCATCATTTTTTCTGCCTTATGTTTTTGTGGTTTGATTCAGAAGCCTTTTCCATTGTGGTTGTCAGTGTTGTTATGGTTTTTGTATTAACCATCTCTGAGGGCCTTCAGGAAGGCAAATGTCTATACATATACACGTGCCAGGGCCTTTTCCAACCTCCTTCCTGGAGGCTTCTTTGAGTCCCCAGAGCCTGGAAACTCACACAACAAGCTTTGCTCAGCCAAGAGCAGGATGTCACATCTTGGAGATCTTGGTGCTGCAGGAGATAAACTGAGAGACAGACAGACAATACATCATAGAGACGGATTAAGGCATACATTTAATAAACTAATTATTAAGCTTTAAAATTTGACATGTAGAACAATTTATAAGTTCAGTCGTTTTATATAAAACTTGCTTTAACTTGTTCTTTATTATTTTTCAATAAACTCATTCATTTGAAAAATCAAATTTTCCTAAACAGATAATATTATTTTAATGTTAAACGTCACAATTTCTTTAACATTTCAAATTTTGAATTTGAAGT